TTCCTAATTTTAACCCAAATTCTTTTGTTTTAGTTCACAGTACCAAATAAAAACAAACTCTCAATCTGTTTTGCACCATTTTTCTCCGTTGTCTGATTACCTTTTCTTCTTCCTCTTTCCATTAATTCCACGCCTACATTTTCCACCCACTTTCATAAATCCCTTTCTTTCCTTTTTACCTCTCCAGTGTGCCTTTGATTTCCCCTTACATTTTGCATCCACCTTCTAAATCCTTAATTTCAAACAAACTCCAATTAAACAAAAATTGCAGGTGCTTCTTCTTCCTCTCTCTATTAATTCCACGCCTGTAAACCATGAATGGAAACCCTTGCCAAATGTCAAATAATTATACATTTCTTAAATTGTGTTTCTTTTGACACATGGTTGACTTGCCATATTTAGAAAATTTTTTCCTAGTAGAATACATTGTTATTAAATTAATTTAATTAAATTACTTAATAACCCATTTCCTAATTTTAACTCAAATTTTTTTGTTGTACTTCCACAGTATCAAACAAAAACAAACTCTCAATCTGCTTTGCACCTTTTTTCTCCATTGTCTCATTACCTTTTCTTCTTCCTCTCTCCCTTAATTCCACGCCTACATTTTCCACCCACTTTCATAAATCCCTTTCTCTCCTTTTTTTCCTCTCCACTATGCCTTTTATTCCCCCTTACATTTTGCATCCACCTTCTAAATCCCTAATTTCAAACAAACTCCAATTTAACAAAAATTATAGGTGCTTCTTCTTCCTCTCTCCATTAATTCCATGCCTGCATTTATAGATTTCTCATCTATATATATTATATTATAAAGAAGAAACCATTGAGAGAAAATATCTAATATTTGACATCAGATTAACTGGACAAGTAATGTAATTACAAGGGAAAGACTAGAGAATTTATGCTATAAATTACACAGGAGATTGTGAAATCATGAAGTAAGCAATTTCACAATACTGTAAAACAAGGAAATAGACACCAACATCAGCTTAGTTGAGTTGGTCCCGACTAATTTAAAAATCTTTATTTGAAGTTAAGGTTAGATATGCCAAATATCTAACCCTCCAATAAAAAGAAAAAAAGAAAAAAGAAAAAAAAGAAACATGTAGTCCTCAATTGAAATTATTTTCACAATGAAGGAACCCTGCAAGCTCCTCTACACATATAATTCAATAACTTCCATTATTAACATACACCCTTTTTTTCCCAAGACGGAAAATCCTATGGTAGTTTAGAAAAAAATATTTGAAGAAGCTACAAATACTGTTCACCTTCATGATTCTGCTTTAACTACTAGCTAGGATTTGTGGTATAATTGGAAGACACCGCACCTTCTTAAGCATTCCATTATCCCTCTGCAGCCTGATTCTCCCCATGACCCTTGGCTGTATCATAAGACGCATGCAATCCAACTAGAAAATAGTAAATCAACAGGATGGCAGTCCAGACAGCAAACCTTATAAAGGATGCACGGTCTATGGATCCAAGAAGGAAAATATTGATGGCAATGGAAGCTGATGGTAACCAAGGAACCAATGGAACGCCCCACAGTTTTGGAGTCCTAGCCTTCGGAACAATAAGCTGAAGTGCCAAGGTAGCCAAGAACCAAATTGGCGCTGTAATCACATATGCAATCCATTCATTATCGCTACTTAGTGCCCAGTAAGCAGTAGTGGCAGCAGAAGACCCAAGAATGAACGCTATGCAAATAATAAGTTTGTTTCTGTCTGCTGGTGTTGTCACCCCACTGACATAGTATCGGCGAACAAGGAGAGCAATAGCTACGAGCATGAAGATGAACAATGTTGATATTGAGAGAAGATTGGCAAGAATATCTAGTTGAGTAAAGAAGGCAATGATTGCTGTGGCAGCAAGCATGACAATTGTTGCATTTATTGGCGTTCCTGTCTTTGGATTGATTTGTGCTAACCAGTGCGGCATCATGCGGGTACGTGCAATATGGGTCAGATATCTGGCTTGGCCGACAGCACTGACAAGCAAAGCAGTGGTCATGCCCTCCAATGCACCGAGAGCAACAATATACTTAGCCCAATTCATCCCTACAGCTTCAAATGCCACGGGGAATGGGGCATCCTGGTCGATCTGCGGATATGGTTGCATAAGGCATAATGTTATAGCAAGCAGACAGTATGCAACAGTGACAATTGTCATTGAGCCAACAAGACCAATGGGAATATCTCGAGCAGGGTTTTTAGTCTCTTCAGCCATTGTTGAGACAGCATCAAAACCGACATATGCGAAGAAAAGCACAGCTGAAGACTTGAAAATGCCATGAACGCCAAAGGGGGCAAAAGGGGTGTAGTTTTTGGTGTCAGCTTTCGTAAAACCAGCAATGATGATGAAGAGAATAACAGCAATGTGGACGATGGAGGAAATGTAATTGAGGCGCGAGGAGCCCTTTGTACTGAGGATTGCAACAATGCCGATGACAGTTATCACAACAACAGCAATGGGGTCGAGGTGGCCATAATCATGAAGAAGGCTGGTCACATTGATGCGGAAATCATTAGCTT